TATTAAATCAGTTACAGCAGAATGTCTTACATACACACACATAAACAGCTACAGTTGAATGTCTTGCATATACAACAGTTAATAACATAATAACTGTATGTCCACAATACAAGCAATGCAATTTAACAGATATGGTCTTTGTCAATCAACATTTATATCCTATGCATTTATATTGAATTGCTTCTTATCAGACATAAATGATACAATAAGAAGCATCTTTAAACAATACTAGCAAAAAAAGTAAAACTAATTTTCCTGGGCAATATATGGAACAAAACTAGACTGTATCACAAGAATTAAAAAGTAAAATTGGAGCTTTTAAACTAAAATGCAAAAAAAAAAAAAAAATTAAATGTTTAGGATGCCCTGGATAAGAAAATGTTGAGATATTCAATAAGATGGGAACATTTAACACAAACATATTCGCTCAGAAGACTGAAATTCATAATCTGTTTAAATCAACACTAATTACTGGCTAACAGGATGCAGTGATTGGGGTATATAGAGAAAATAGCAGATGAAGAGAGACAAAAACTATGTACCCAAAACAAGGAATGGGGTAGACCTTGAGGCAGACCAGGACGACTTTAGGGAGATAATATACAGGCAAACCTATAAACATTTGGAGTCACCAAGTGGAGAGATAAGGCTGGTTCACAGAGATGGATGACGGTGGTGATATCTACAGCAATGACCCTCAAGGGCTCGGAATGCTGAAGAGAAAGAAGAAAGAAAGAAAAGAAACGGGGAAGAAGCTCATAAAACAATCTATTTTTAAAACTAATCTTACAAGAATAGACTTTTCAGACCAATGTTTGCATTAAACCCCCAAGTTTAAGGTGGCCTCCTGTGGTGACGACCTGAATAGCCAAGGATGAATAACTGACAGTGTGAAATATCAGTGTGGAGGTCACAGCCTTGAATTTAAAATGGAGGTCACCACCTTGAATTTAAAATAGAGGTCATCATCTTGAATTTGAAAGACTTTAAAAGATGTTGCAGGTCTCCTATTGGTCAGGGCTGACTGGACATTTCCTGCATTGATGAATGATCAAAAACCGGAAAGATGGATGCAAGTGAACAGAAATGTACAAACAGCAATGCCCTGTACCTCCATGGCTGTCAGAGGGGCATACAGAGCAAAACCCAGGAGGTCCTTTCAGGCAGCGTTACCCTAGGAAGTTAACAATGAACAGGCATGATCTTTCTGTGTAGGTGCTAGGGTCCCATTATGTGTGTTTGTGTGGTGGGGGGGGGGGGGGGGGGAGAGAACAGACCCCTGCCTCCTTAACAAGCAAGTGTTGGCTAATTAGGGGTTTTCCTTCTAGGTCAGAGTGCATCTACCTCCTAAGAGGTAGGGAACCAACAATCTGCATATAAATAATCCAGCTCTGTAAAATGGACGTGCAGCTCAAGTTCTGGAATGAGACTTAAAATCCAAAAGTGGACAACCAATCAGAAACTTTCTACTGGAGTTTACACTGAAGACCTCAAATACAAAGATAATGATGTCTCTAGACATACGAATTGGAGCCATGCCATGTTAAAACCAAGCAAGAGCTCCCAGTTACTACATCAGGCAATGCAGAACAGAAGTCATTGAGCATTAACACACTAACAAAGATGCCTAGGAGAAGATCCGAGCACTTAAGCGTATGCCCAACATGCAGAAAAGAAGATTTTTAAATGAAAAATGCATTATTCAAACTATTAATAACCTAGGAAGGCTTACCCAGTCAACAACTGTCTTGAAGAGGGTGAAAGTGTCGACCAAACAAAGCAATTATGGGAACTCCACAAAACAAAACGCAATTTCCCCCAAACAACTAAGATAAACAGATTGCGCAAATAAAGAAGAAACACTGCAGTAGTTAAGCATAAATGCTGGGCAGGTTTTCTGGAAGAAGATGCACAAGGTCAACCAGGACAAATATTCACATAATATATCCAATAAAGACAATGGCAAACTACTGAACATAGTGAAATCACAAACAGCCAAACAAATGCTGGGGTTTGTTCTGCAATGTCCTGTAAAGGATACACAACTAACATTGAATAAATCTTGATTATGATAATGCATAAAGCAAGACAGCTGCCTCAAGTTTTAATGTTTTAGATGGGCTTTGATGAAAGTAGCATTCTGTAAAGGTCATGCCACATGATGATGATGATGGGTAAGCATTAAAAGAGCATGCACAAGTAGACAAGTGAACTCAGTTCATTTTTTCTGTCCCAGAGGATGTACCAGATGTGTTCATAGGTAATACAAACATTAGTCTCCCCATTTACACAGTGTTAGACACTAGCTCACTTCTGATTGGTCGACCTTCAGCCTAGCTCACTTCTGATTGGTCGACCTTGAGCCCCGCTATCTTGCCACATGCCGTTGATATTGCGTATTATATATTTAACGCCAGCGCTTTTAACACTCCAAAAACATCAACAAACTGGGTCTAACACAAAACCCATTTAGAGAGTGATGAAACTTATGTCACAGGCATTCTCTTTCTCGTAACAAAAACATAAATGCAAGACAATCCAGAAAGCAAACAGAGTGGCACACCTGCAGGAAGGTAGACTAGCCAAAAAAACGTATGAATGGAAAGTGACCTGCTTTGTTTGGGGAGACTAACGTTTGTATAACCGTGATCATCTATTGCCATTATGTCCGTTAGCTGAGGTTCCAACGTCATGGCAAAAGGGTCACCCTAGAGTTGACTCAATTCTTGTGCAAGTGAAAAATTACACAGAATGCATATCGCTGTCTTGTGAAACAACTGACACAGACTGCAGTCTCTGCAAAGTCAATAGCATACACATGCATTAAATGCACAAGACAGACATCAGAAGTGCCAGTACAAACAGTCCACCACTAGAATTGAAGTTCATTGTCAACAAAAAGAGCAGTTACAACAAATCACAGCTGCATACACAACACATCACATAAGGCACCGCCAGCAGCTGCAAAAGGCCACTCAGAACATAACCTTTGACCCATTAGGGTTGTGGAGGTGTATTGATGGAAGCACTAGCACATAAAACCCGCCATCTTTCTCTGTCTTCTGCTTGATGAATAAGTGAATGATAACTTAGTCCTGTTCATTTCTTGATGCTGTCATTCCAGGTTATTCTTTGCCCTCATCTTCTTCGACAACCCCCCAAGGCCACTCTTCATTTTCCAGTTCTGCAGTTCACAATATAAATCTAGCTGGGCATGCCTGAAAAGCAAAACAAACTAAATCTGCAGCTCAGTGGCGTGCCATGCATTCAGTTCAGTAGCTAGGTGATAGAGCTATATACTTTTGATCCACATATGGGGTAAAAGCAACAGCTAACTGTGGCTAGAAGCAAATAACTTGCCAAAACTGAACCAGCTGGCCTGCCTACCCACTATATGAGAATAGAAACCATTACGTACCGAATTAAGCAAAGGTGTTGTTATAACTTTAACATTTGGCTTCAGCATATCCCTAAAAAAATCAAGCTACAATCTGAACACATAAAACATTATATGCTACATCTCTTGAATTATTACACATACTTTTTCCTTTGTGGTTTTTACTATGTTGGGCTGCTGCTATGAATTCTTCAGAGGCTGAAAAAGTTAGGCTGAGATTGATTCAATATCATCATCCTGAACATGAAAAGTATGATTGAAAAATGCCTGATTAGGCCTTCTCATCTCCCGCTCTCTTCGTCTTTCCCTATCCATCCTCCTTTCCTGATTTCGTTCACTGTAAGAAGGCTTGTACTGATCTGAGGCATAGTATGGGAAGTGCCCCCACTGACCTTTGACTTTGGGTTTAGCCCCTGCCATTTGCATACTGGTCACTCCCATGTAAGGCCCTGGATCTGCTAAACCATTCATATATGGATCCCCTATACCATTCATGTATGGGTAATTCCCCTGTGTGGCTCCAGCCATATAAGGGTTATACCCACCCATATGTGACATCTGTGGTATGTTTATGAAAGGACTAACAGTTCTCGTGTATGCATTCCCACCGCCCATGTAGGCGCTATGTCCACCTGCTCTGCCACCTGCATCGGATCCTGAACTGGATCCGCTTTTGCCTAGAAGCACACCCCAGTTTCCACCGGAAATGTCAGCCATTAAAGCGTGCAGTGGAAGAATGCCTTCCTCTAAATGAGTTTCCACCGTGACTCTCTGCGTCTGCTGTTTAGTTTTTGAAGACATTCTTTTCTGCTGTTGTTGTTGATGATGGGATGATGATGGATGTCCATTTGGCTGAGTGTAAGCTTCATTCTTCGGAGGATGAAACGGATAAAAATGATGCTTCTGCTGCTGACTGTGATGCTTTTGTGGAGACACCATCTCAGGGTGAGATTCTTCAGGTGCTCCGGGCAAACTAGGATGAGATTCCATCCCAATACTTGTCTCTGCTACACCCCCTTGGCCGTCTGCTGCACCCATCCCTGAGTGAACACTGCTGCTTTTGGCACTAAAGATGGAAAAATCAGTTGCTTTCTTGCTTGGGCTCAAATCTAAATATGGCACAATTCTAGAAGAAGTTTTCGTCAATGGCCCATCATTGGCACTTCTCCTGGTTACAGCTGGTAGAACAATATCTGCAGGAATATTTGACGCTAGTGATGTGGTTTCAATACTATTTCTCTCTACTGAGAACCGAACGCTTTGAGCCGACATCTGACTCATCACCGAAGAATCACTTCCTTTCCGGTGTTTACCAAATCGGCCACCTCCTAGTCTCATTCCGGAGAACACTGGACCTACATTTTGTCTGATTCTGTTCAACCTGTTCCTTTTCTTTTTCTTCATCTTCTTTCTGCCACGTCCCCGGCCATCAATGGGCGAGTTGTTATGATCAATGAAATAGAACTGCTGCTCCCGGAATTCCATCAGCTGGGACTCCAAAGAAACCCTTCGAGTGGATACCACTGAGGCAATATCTGGGGAGAATCAAGTTGAGAGTTCAACTCTTTTAGTACCAAACAATACGCCATGTATCATTGCATTTAGTAATATGCACTAGAGAAAAGATGATTATTCTAATACACTGTATGTTCAGACAGGACATAGTAAAAAAAAAAAGTAAGCTAACATCCCTTTTCCACGCGAATAGGGCATATAGGGCTAGACCTAGATTTGTATAGACTAATCGGCACAAGATGGGTGATGTGGTCAGCATCACGCCGGCCACCTTTACTTCCTGGGACAGCAACAGGAACCCGCTCAAGGCTGGGTTGATCTGGGAGTCAAGGTCATTTTTGAAAAGAAAAAAAAAAAAGTCAGGCTCTGCCAGGGAGCAAACCCACGACCTTCCGACCCGCACGTGAGCATCTAGCCGCTATGCCACGGCAACTAAGACATACTAATACAAACAGAATTGAAAGAGCAGATAAACTTCTAGCTAAGGAAGGTGCGCATGAAGAACAACCTGACATAACAGTCTCTTATCAACAGAAGAAAAGAATAATCAAATCAATCATAAAGCCACCAAAACCGCCACAAGATAATTACCATATTATGGACAGACCAGAGGAAGTCATTACTCTATGAATTAGAACAGGCCACATGTACACACAATTTAAGATTGGCGAATCAGCTATGTGTACATGTGGATTAGCATCTGAGATAACAGATCACGTCCTCCAAGTCTGTCCCAAAAACAAAATGTCAAGGCAAAACTTTTGGCCAACAGAAACACCAGTGCAAGTTGAACTTTACAATAGATTACAATTAGACAGTGATGTTAATACCAGAGACAACACTGCAGATATAGATAATTTCAAGCGAACGACAGAAGAAGAAAAAGAAGAAGAAAAAGAAGTAATACGAACAACACATAAGACTAAAATCATAGCGGAAACGTTCACATTTTGTTTGTGTTCATTATATTGTGAAGCTTGCTGACATACTTTTTGTTGGGTTTAAATCTTTTCTTAAGACTAATATCAGGGTTGTGTATTTAACTCTTTTGGATGTATTATACCCGTTTTTTTTTCTGTGACAATTGTCTCATCTGGGCATCAGTTATGACCTTCTGGGTCTGAGCGAGTTTAACGCCAAGAGAAGTGACCTCAAGGCATCAAGTTTTACCCCATATGGCCCCATCTCTCTCAGCTTCCTGAGTGGGTTCCGGAGCCCCATTGTGAGGAAAAACAAAAATAGATCCACTGCCTCCCCAACAAGCGTGTCATAAGAGTCGATTAACTGGGAGGGAAGCTTCCTTTGAAGTCAGAGTGAATCTGCCTGAGAGGCAAGGAACCAACAGTCTTCATACCAATCAGTCTAATCTGTAAAATGGATGTGCGATCAACAGATTCTGGAACAAGACTTATGCCCAGAGGTGGATGATCAACCAGAACATCCCATGGGAGTTTACAGCTGGATTCAGCTACATCATTCATCCATCTCTTTCTTGGTCTTCCCCTTGCCTTCCTCTCAGATTTTCTGCTACAAAAAGTCTCATAGTTTGGTCTGGCTGAATTCTCACTAGATGGCCGAACCATCTCATTCTTCGTCTGTCAATATAATCCAGACCTGGTTTGATTCCAACTTTCATCCTAATGCTGCTCTGCATAACCCTATCCCTTCTTGTGTTGTTAGTGACCTTGCGGAGACAGCACATTTGAAATGTAGTCATTTTCTGTTCCAGTGCCCTATTAACTGTCCATGTTTGGCACTGATAGCATAAAGTAGGGACGAAGATGCTATTAATCATTTGCTGTTTTGCTAGAAGGGAGACATTTGGGTGTCCAGGCAGTGGGGCTAACTGGTAAGTGTCAGCACTTGCCTTCTGTACTCTGGCTTCTATCTCTCTATCAAGTGTACCATCCTCTGTAAATATGCTTCCTAGATATTTGAATTCTCGTACTTGTTTGACTGTAGTACCATTAGCATGAAAGTTCATGTTATTATCATGTTTCCTGCCTATTCTCATTACCTCAGCTTCTGCGATGTTTACTCTCACATCATACTTTGTGCTCTAGCACATTATCTAAAGTATTTGATTTGACAATTTATAAAGTACTTCTAAAGTGCTCAGAACTCAATGTTTGGTGCTTTATTAATATCCTACCACAAACAGGGGAAATCCACAGGTCACGGGACAGCCTAATATTTCAGGGAGTGGTAGATAGGCTGCATGCAGTCGTGGAACCTAGGCTATATGCAGTCATGGGACTAGGCTGTACTCTCTCGTGTGACGTAGGTGGGTTGGGGTTAGGACCAGTTCTAGATGTTCTAGGGTCTTTAAAAGCATCAGAAAGCTGGGAAACCCAGTCTTACCACCCTCTAAAATACTGTGACGTCATTTGGGAGTAGGATATTAATAAAGCACTAAATGTTTTAATTTTAAAGGCATTCATCATCCTAATCATCTAATTCCTGGCTGACTGGTGTAGGTGATCATGCTTCTCCACAACATGCAATCGCCAACAGCATGCATGAGTCCATGTGCTGACACCCCTCCATGTCATGACAAAAAGCTGTTAAAAAAACCTTCAAGCACAATCCTCCTCTATCTCACTTTCCATAAATCTGTCTAGTGGTTACAATATGTTCCAGTTTCCCTCTTCTGGTAACATGACCAAAAAATGATGACTTCCTCCTCCTGATGCATGTGACATGTTGTCTTAAGGTCCTCTCCTCTTTCAAAACATCTGAGTTACTCATTCTGGCTGTCCAGAAAATTTAAAGCATTCTTCAGTATAAAACCACATCTCTAAGGCCGCCAAAAAATGTGAGGTCATTACCACACTAAATAATTTCTAAACTATTTCAGCACAGTTTCAAACGTACTCTTCTTCTCTTTATTATTATTATTATTCACTCGTTAACTCGGCGAAAAATTCTGGTTGTTATCCACCTCTGGACTTGTCTTGTTCCAAACCTGAGTGTTGCATGCACATCTGTTTTCCAGATGAGATTTATTTGTATGCAGATTGTTGGTTCCTAGCCTCTCAGGCAGATGTACTCCGACTTCAAAGGAAGCCAATTAGTCAACTCCTGCGACATGCTTGTTGGGGAGACAGTGGGTCTATTCTGGTTTCCCCCACAATGGGGCTCCTGAATCTCCAAGGGGATCAAACATACTCTAGAATAACTGTAAAAAATGTTAAATTAAAGAACCGTCTTCACGATACTGATACATCAGACAAGTGATGCAAGACTCATAATTTATACAGCTTATAAACCAATAAACCCTCAATAGATGAAGTAGTCAACCTGCAGTAGACATAACAGAAGTACCACAGTTTTCTGAAAATTAGACCCAAAGAGCAGTTGACATAACAGAAGTACCACAGTTTTCTGACAATTAGACCCAAAGAGCAGTTGACATAACTGAAGTACCACAGTTTTCTGAAAATAAGACCCAACCTGCAGTAGACATAACAGAAGTACCACAGTTTTCTGAAAAAAAGACCCAACCTGAAGAAAAAAAGAATATCTAGCATGGTTTTTCCGGATGGTGGATAAGCCCCCCCCCCCCCCCCCCCCCCCCCCCGAAACCCCCACCCACCCCCCCCCCACCCCCCCTCTCCTCCCCACCGAAACCCCACCTCCTTCTAATCCCAAACATAAGCCACAGTTAAGATCATCAGGCGGCGGGATGCCATTTATGTGCTGAAAAATGTGGCAGATGTTTTGAATAATAAAGTGCAGAATGAATAAATACAAATTATTCGCATTAACCTTTTCACCTGGGAGTGCTAAACAAAATTGGTCATGAACCCACTGGAATCCCTGAAAAATTAATTTAAAACAAAATTACACTGGTCACTAGTAATTTTTTACATGCAAAATAAAGACATTTCCTTTTTTAAAAAAACCTAAGACGTCTTTTGGAAGACAAATGAATATAAGACCAGTTTTATTATTGGGGAAAAACAATAACAGCAGCAATATTAACAGTACCAACCTGAATCTGAATATCGACGGCCCATCCCGGCTCCAGGATAAATAAGGCCACCTCTCCGACATACCAACTTCGGCATGGCCATAGCAAAATTAGATGACAGCTCATCGTCACTGCCACTGTTCAAATCAAATTTCATGCCTGTGTTGATAAACAGAAAGGCCAGCAGTATCATTTAGAAACTGTTGTTCAGTTCATATTTCAGGCTTTTTTTTCATTACAAAAGCTCCCAATATCACTGATAAATGTTTAAATCAAAATGCATGCACGCTCTTCTTCCCCCATTAAAAAAAACCATCATCATCGAAGAACTGTTTCATTCAAAATTTCAGGTATGTTTTCTTAATTAGAAACAAGCTCAAGAGGTTTGAGGTTTTGAACAAGGTGGACACCATGCTGACAAACTTCAAATCGAATTTCATGTCTGTTTTTCCCTCATTAGGAAAGCCGCTAGCACCACGGATGCCGCGGGGCCACATTAGCGCAGTCAATAAGAGGCTCGCTTTCAAATCTAGCTGCGCCTCGCAGCAGCCCACGGTCAGTGTTCGAAACCAGTAGGCTCACGGGGTTCACCCAGCCTCTAGGAAATGGGTACCAGAGTTGACACTCTGGGGTAAATAGAGGAACATCGCTGTAGCCACAGAGTTACGTGCGGACGGCGACACAGGCGGACAGTTTCTTATCAGCTGTCAGTACTGGTGGCAGAGCATTTATGGTTTATAACCGTGTGCAATGACGCTGGTTCACATTTCCCGACTTTACCTTTACTGATGCCTGGTTTTATTTTTTTCTTCTTTTTTTTTTTTTAAGAATAAAGCCACCATCACTTATATTGTCACATAAAATGTCATGCCTCTTTTTTTAATTATTATTATTTAAATGCCACCAACATCAATGATCAACTGTTTAAATCAAATGTCATGCCCATTTTGTTAAACAGAAAAAAGCCACCAACATCACTGATAATCTGTTCAAGTCAAACTGCATGCTTGTTTTTTATATACAAAAAGCCACCAGCATCATTGATGGACCGTGTGATTTACAGCTAAGCTGTAATATCTGTGCCTTTTGGTCCAAATCATCCGATTTAAGCAAACCCTTAATTAGTCGCCTTTTAAGACATGCTTGTTATGGGGCAGCGGGTGTATTCCCCCCCCCCCCCCCCCCCCCCCCTTCCAACCAGTGGGGCCCTGGACTTACGCCAACATATAATTGAGCACACAAAATTAATTCTTTGAACTGAAATATGCAAATCATAGTCTCTTGTTATACTTTTAGCATAACCACAGAAGTCTTAGATTAACCATGGGATCCCTTTGTTTTTGTTCTTCTTCTTTCCTCTACTTCTGGAATGCCTCACAGCATCAGGGCAGAAAGAGATCTATGGAACGGGCCCTTCTGTTTGCTTCATATCAAGTACTTTTTGGTGTCTCTGATATTTCTGCGGTCTATGTTCTGCGTGGTCGACCTCTGGCTCTGTTACCATTGTATCTGTATAACACTGATCTCTGTGGTGCCCTGTCTGATGCCAATCTCAGCCTTTGTTGTTAAAATTACATCTTAACCAAATTATGCAGCTAAGATACTTACCCAGAGGATCATCATGGGAGCTACGATAGCTGATAGAAACCCGACCCTGGTTGATTTCCTTCCTTTTCTCAAAAGCTTGTGCAATCATACGATGGCGCTTTAATTTGACTGGCTTGTTGGATGGCTTGTGGAAAATCCTGGACATCAAATAAATGGTAAAATAGGCTTGTCAGTGGAAACAATGAAGGGTGAAAGTGACAAAGCTTTCAAGACTAAATGATCACAAACTGCAACTAGAAAGTTCAATACAAGAAAAGGACTGTCTGGTTTTCTTTTCCTTTTTCATTATGGGGATTAGTTACCAGAGGATCGGCCGGCACACTATGCTCAGAGGAAAGGCCAGATGGACATACAACCAGACTATGACTGGCACCATTAGTGTTGGAACTCTGTGCTGCCTGCTGAGGATGGGGAAGGAACGCACGTGGGAATGCCCCGATTGCTGTGATATCAATTCTTAACTCAATTCAACTTAACTCAGCTATGGGATTAGTTTTGTGTTGCCCTTAAAAAATATCGGCCTTAGCACACTGTTATGCTAGTTATCACAATCAAGGTCCCTGCACACTGGGTATTCACATGTGTGCTCAGTCTCCCAACGCAGCAGCCACTCCAAGGTGCTTCTACTAATTGTTCCCATGAGAGGTCAGTTTCCTTTCTCAACCTCAAAGGCAGCATAGACATGCTTCACCACGTGGATAATATCTGCTCTGTCCATGCTTCTTTACACATGTGTTGGTGCATTGCTTGCAAACTGTGTTGTAGTGTACAGCTAGACTGCAACATCTGCATCTCTTGGATCGACACATCAGATTTCAGCAAACCTTTATTTAGTTGCCTTTCATGGCATGCTTGTAATGGAGCAGTGGTATAGTCTTTTTTGTTAAGGAGCAGTGGTATAGTCTTTTTTCCTTGTTAAGGAGTAGTGGTATAGTCTTTTTTCCTTGTAAAGGAGCAGTGGTATAGTTTTTTATTGTAAAGGAGCAGTGGTGTAGTCTTTTTTCCTTGCTAAAGAGCAGTGGTATAGTCTTTTGTAAAGGAGCAGTGGTATAGTTTTTTATTGTAAAGGAGCAGTGGTATAGTCTTTTTTCCTTGTAAAGTGGCAGTGAAACCCACACAGAGAATGTGAACTGATATCCTGCCTCTTCTTGTGTCATAAGCAGAGGGTTACTGCAAGCAAGGTGATGGCAAGAAGTGCTCAAATATAACGTAAAATATGACTAGAAAGCTTATTAGATGGAACAGGAAAGACATACACAAGTACAACCGAACCTTTTCAACAAAGTGTTTATCAACGGAGTACTAAATACAACCGAAGTCGCCTTGGCGTAGCGGCTAGACACTCGTGTGTGAATCGGAAAGTTGTGGCATCGCTGCCTGGCGGAGCTTGACTATTTTTTCAAAAATGACCTTAACTCCCAGGTCAACCCATCCTTCACTGGGTATAGGGTGCAGTCCTGGGAAGTAAAAGCAGCCGGCATGATGTTGACCACATAACCCATCTTGTGCCGATTGGTCTATTAAAATATAGGTCTAGCCCTATATGCCCTATACCACTGAAGGCGTGGAAAAAGGACCTTTACTTTACTTACTAAAAACAACACAAACTGTGACTAGACAACTCAACAGACAAGACAACAGATCTTCTAAACACAAATAAGCCAGTAAAACAGAAGTACACGCAAAACTCAGGCCCTAGCACAAAGTCAAAGTTCAAATTTGACAAACAACCCGGACTTCCCGCCGCAGCTTACAGCTGGTGAACAAAGAAGAAGAAGAAGACATGTGATGGCAACAACGGTCCTGAAAACCCATGCACCAATTGTGGAAGGTTTTTCTTAACATGAGCGGATGTTGCTGGTCACGCAAGCCATGGCCATGGGCTCTGAGTCCCATGCTTTCCTATAGCACAATTTAACATTACCTAAGGAAGAACAGGAGAGTGCCAACAACAAGACTGAACAGGCCAAAGAATAATAACTGTTTCGCTGGAGAATCTAATAAGGTTGGAGCTGTGGTAATAGTGTGGCTAAATGCTTGCCTGCCAGATTGTGGCAGGTACCATTAGTATTGGAACTCTGCGCTGGCTGCTGAAGATAAGGACATAGCACGCATGGGAATGCCCCGAGTGCTGTGATGTCAATTCTTGACTCAACTCAACTGAGTCTGTTCTTGTATTTCCCCACCACCGAGCCCTGGAAGACACACAGGGAAGTCTAGAAAATTAGTCTAGCATCACATCCCAAAGGCGGGAAAATGGTCTTTTATTGTAAACTTTGTCTTTTAATGTAATAATGTGCTGTTGGCACCTGTGGTCTAGGGGTTGCGAACACGCTTCATAATTCCATTGTGCCAAGTTCGATCCCAGCTGCGGTCAATGTGGCAACAGACCATATTGTGTTGGTTTCAACAGCAGTATCAAGAGCCGATATCATCATTATCATCGAGTGTTTTGTCCCTTGGCATGGCTGATCATACCTCCTCACAAACTGCAATCTTCAACAGCATTCCTCCATTCATATGTCGACTCCCCCCCCCCCCCCCCCCCCCCCCCATGCCATGACAAAAGGTTGTAAAGAATCATCTCACGCTGCCTTACTCTGTCTCTTTTCCACAGATCTTTACATTGGTCACAACATGTTCCAGCTTCATTCTTTTCATAACATGATCCAAAACATAACGACTTTCTCTGATGTTTGAGATAAGCTGTCTTCGAGCCCTGTCTCTTTCAAAATATGTGGGTTGCTCTTTCTGACTGACCAAGGAACTCTATGGATTCTTCTATAAAATCAAATCTTCGAGGCAAACTAATGAATGTAAAATTGTCTTGTGAAATCACAGGCTTCCAACACAAAATGCTGAGGTTGGTTCTGCCACCAACTAGCTCCCCATCGAAACAGCCTTTCTCAATACCGCATGAAACAAGATAATTGAATGTTGCATGTTGAATGTTGAATTAAGAATCAACATCGCAGCACTCGGGACACTCCCATAAGAACTCTATCCCTATCTTCAGCAGCAAGCAAAGAGTTCCAATTCTGATGGCACCAGTAACTGTCTGAATGTATATCTGTCTTGCCTTTCCCCTGAGTGTTGAGCATTGGCCAAATCCCCTCAGCATCATTCTCCTCAGACCGTAATGATCTATTTGTGCCTCCACACTGTTCACTCGCTCCCAAAGGGCCCTCACACCATCTAGCTTTTCATACATCAATTCACCACCAAATGGTTTCCCAACACAATGGAAAGATCTTGAGGGAAAAAAATTAAAAACAGCAAAATTGTTTTCCTTTGTGACTGCATGTCAGTCCTCCTTCCAACTCAGAGGGATCCACGAGACAATACGGAAAGAGAACTGACCCACCAGATGAACAGACTCGCAGAAAACAATCAGATCGTTCTCCAGTGGATCCCCGGCTCACTGCAGCATACCAGGAAATCAGTTAGCAGACAGACTTGCTAAAAATGCAGCAGAGGAGAAACAACAAACCCAACGATTGTCGTCACCAGAAATCAGAACACTTATCTAGGGAAAATACAAGGAATTGTGGAGGAGAACAAACTAACAGTAAACATCCACAAGAACCCATCAGCAAACTCAACAGAAAGCAACATACAACAATTTTCCGTCTACGAACAGGACAATGAAGGCTCAACTACCACATGCATAAAATGAAGATTGTACAGTCTCCACAGTGTGCCTGTCAAACAGGACCACAAACACCTGAGCACACTCTGCAGACCTGCCCGCTCTACCTACAACTTTGAAAAGACACCTGGCCTCAAGAGCTAAGTGTGCAGAGCAAGCTGCGGGAACCATGAAGGACCTGCTACTGACATGCAAGTACAAAGAGGTAAACAACTTAATGGCTGACCTGAGCATACAAAACCAAACGCAAAGAAGAAGAAGAATGATCTGGAGAAAATATGGTGCTAGAGAGATAATGGTGAGATGAAAGACAGGATAATGTACTCACCATCTAAAGAACCTTTCCCATGCAGAAAATGAAGCATGAGTCCATGACCAGGAGCTCATAGCAATCCCGGCCCCAAAGAAGGCAAAGATATGTATCTCCATGGCAATTAAACTAGGCCGGTCTTCAATCACGCACACGGAGCGAGCATCTCCACTAGTGGCTGTGACAGAGACATTGGCTATACAGCTGTGGAAAAGATTAGAATATCATTAAACATAAATAATATGGAGGCCAAAAGTTAAAACTTACTACATTCTGTGCTTTATAATCAATAAAACAAACAATATATATCTGTATCTTCTTCTTAGCATTTTCTGGCTGTAAACTCTGGCAGACATTTCTAGTTGTTTGCCCACTTCTGGACTTTGGTCTTGCTCCAGATCTTGAGTTTTGCATGCACATCTGTTTTACAGATCTTGCTCATTTGTTTGCAAATTGTTGAATCTTTCCCATTCAGGCAGAGGCACTCTAGTTTTAAAGGGAAACAATTCAAATTAGCCTCCTCTTATGACATTCCAGTCAAACCCCCTGGCCAAATGGGGCCCTGGGGCAAAACAAAACATATTATAATTAACAATCAAAAAGAGAGGCCAAAGGTGAATAACACCATGGAGAGACATCAGAAAAAGTCACAATTTTACCGGGAGCGGCCATGTTGTAGCGGGAGACACCTGCGTGTGGATCGGAAAGTCGTGAGCTCGCTTCTCTGCGGAGCTGGACTATTTTCCAAATTTACCTTGACACCCAGGTCAACCCAGGCTTGAGTGGATACTGGGTGCATCCCCTTGAGTGGGTAACACATTACCCATCTAGTGCCGATTGGTCTATAAAAAAAATATAGGTCTAGCCCTATATGCCTTAAGGTGTAGAAAAGGGACCTTTACTTACTTTACTTTTTAAAAACTTACAAGTTTTTACCTATCCTGGCCATGTGATAAGAAAGTTAATATCAAGAGAATGGACTTCACAGCAGCTGGTTATCCTTGCACAGAACAGCTAGCTCCCTGCGAAGAGTGCAGTAGAAAGCATGAACTCTGCAGCTCTGCAAAAATCTTCAGCCATCTCCGTAACAAGTGCAGTCATGGAGTGAACAACGCAATACTTGAAATGAACCCACAACCTCTATAGCATGAGGGGGAAAGACTTGATCACTTTGCCAGAGATGTAATAGCAAATCTGTATCTGCTTCTTTGTGATCACCAGCTGTAAATTCCAGCTGAAATTTCTGGTTGTTGATCCACTTCTGTACTTTAGTCTTGGTCCAGAACAGGGTTGTGTGTGCACTCCAGCTTCAAAAGAAACCCCTCTTTAATCAACTCTTACAACAAGATTGTTAGGGAGGCAGTGGGTCGATTCTATTTCCCCCCCACTATGAGGTCCTAGAACCTACATAGGAGTAATTACACACAATGGCAGAAGTGAAGTAGAAATAAAACAGAGAATCAGAATGAGAGACAAAGAGTACTGGAGAGACAATGCAGCCAAACTTCATTTTATAGAGAGCACCTGACTTACTGACTGGTGAGAAACAAGAGATACAGACTTGCTGACAAAATGTACATTTGTTCTTGTCTGTCTGTCATCTCTTAATGAGTTACTTGTTACCTCTTGCCCATATCGACATCCTAGCATATCCATCCGAGCCATTTGTGCCCCATTTTACGATGCAGCAAACATCACAGTGTTTTCAAGCTCAATGTACCTAACAGGAGATGACAGCTTTTCCCTCAAGTGGTTTTTGCATGTTGGTCTTCATTTAATACCTATTTGCAACAGGCGCTTCATCGTCTCTGACTCCTTTGTCCGAAAGTCTCTAGGAGGTAGTGCTTTCAGTATTTGTGCCTGTCCATACTTCTTCCCCTACTAACCACTACAAACATGACCAGTCTGTCCGCTTTTCCATATCCTTTGACCTCAGGTGCCCCAGTGTGTACATCTCACAAATAGTATAAACCTTACTCTCTCAATTCAAGGTAGTTCTGAATTCAATATTGTCTCTGCTAATGGTTTTTGTGTGTATCCTAGAGCAAAATTTTGGTCTTACAGAGCTGAAAAATACATTTTTGGGAGACAAGATGTTATATTAACAGCTGGAAAATAAGCGGTTAACATAATAGAAGAATGGGATAGGGAAAGTAAAGGAACAGGTGCTATATATAATGAAACCAATGAATGTATGGGTGAGTCTCATGGTACTGAAAGTGTTAACAAACTCCTACAAAGCCCTCTGTTGAGTTTTTAATGGTTAGTTGAATTCTGTAACTGAAGTTTTAAACTATGATGTAACTAGTCTAACTCCAAGCCTTCTCAGTCATCTCTTATAAAATACACCTCAAGCTAAAAAGTTACTAACGTTTCCTTGCTTCATTTATGTCCCAGTAACACACAGGTGTTGCTACATGTTGCATCATCTAAAATCATTTAGGCAAGAGGTCTTCTTCTTTTTCATGTTCACCAGCTGTAAACTAGCGGAAAATTCTGGTTGTTCATCCACCTCATGGTTAGTCATTGTGAATTGCTTTGTTTGGATTTACTTCGCGTGGTTTAACGTGAAAAAATTCAGAAAATTCGCAATGAAACGAGCGGCTGATGAACCAAACCCTTTGACAGAAAAGTGAGGTAGGTCTAGGCTTTTGTCACGTAACAGCCCACACCCCTTTCGTCTTAGACTGGTCTAGACCTGTCACCACTATGCAGATGAGGCTTGTTTGAAAATTGACCTGCCTCTATAGGTATATAGTCCATCTTTTGTAAATATAGGTCTTTCGGTCGAGTTAAGTACTCCTATATGTCCTAATTCTCTTGGGAACATTATAGTTTTGAATCTAAAATCGTAGGCGAGAGATTCATTGGTAATTATTGCCAAAAGTCCTATGGGTATATCACCGCCTGGGAGTGATGAATCTTCTCCCGCTTTCTACGAGAGAGACGCTTGGGTCAGGACAATTCTCGATCTAGCTTCCAGTAAAGTCAGACGTGTTTTACCTTTGTGATTAATTCTGTAAAAATCTAGGGAACAGTTATGTTTCCTAGAGGAATCCAGAGCTTGGGATTGTAAGTTCACTTGAGGCCAGATTGACAACCACCACATATCTACATCACCAGTATTCCTTACCACCAGCTGCCAGAAACTACCATAGGGCCTGCCGATTTGTCTGTTCCTATGCTCAAGTAGTGACCAAATGTACCATTGGGAGAGATAAATCCCCAGGGAGCTGTATGGTGTCTGCATTCATCGTGTAAAGTGATCAATTTTATTTTATATGCTGAGGAGCAGAACTGTTCAGTGACTTTGTACAAGCCATCCCAGATATCTAGAACGGAGGTGCTACAGTGGACCGGACCTGAATACAGATGAGTGATATTCCAGCGGTTGTGGTCACTCTTAACCTGAATTGCCTAGTCCACTGTGCCATGATTTCACAACATGGCGAGGATGACATTGGCTGCTACTAGGAGCAACCCTTGTTTTAGTTATATATAAATTGTCTTCGTCTCCTCAGTGTCATTGATTTTATTGAATTCTTTTACCTGATCCTTGTATTGTTTATACTGATTACAGAACGTTTTGTGAATTTTACATTCGTGGTTTAGTGTCCATCCTTCACTGTTCCTAGTTGTCTGGAGTGTGTGTATGGTATCACTATATTACATATTTTACTGTGTTTCTTATGGTGACTAGGATAGGAGACTATCTAGTCTGGGGGCTTAATTGAAGTAGTGAGGAAGTCAGGTCAAGTTGCGCCTAGGAATATTATTTTCTGTAGAGCCATAATTTGAGTCACCTCACCCCTGAAATACATTGGATGTTCATTGCTGCGGGATTCCGCCTAGACCATTGCGAGCCAACATCTCAACATTTTATAACTACTTCAGAGTGCTATTTGGTTTATCAGGGAAAACCCTTACCAAGGCACGTGACAGCAGCAGTAAGTGACAGCTTTTCAGTCCAAAAAATTATCGATACTTTGGTTGATTCAGACTCTGAGGAGTCAGAATTTCATGAAGAATACGTTCCTAGTAGAAGTAACACACTCAGTGTGAGCTTGAGTGATGAGGAGCATCTTAAAAATTATAGATTTAAAACTAGATTGATGATAAGAGAAGGGGGCGTGTCCCTCAAACAGCAACATCTGATGCTCACTTTGTGAAACAAGGCTGATCTTGGTGGGTGTAATAGCGCACAAAGGTGGAATTTTGGCGCTAGATGAAAGGTAAACCTATTTTCTATAATGTCTCCAAGTTTCATCTTATTCTGACCACTTGTTTGCAGGTATTTTGGTATATCATGTTGGTTTCTTTGTGTTGATGTCCAGCAGCTCAGGTATAGGGGGCAGTTAGGTTCAGGGCCTCAGGTCTGGTAGGGTTCAGACAGATTTACTAAATGTAAACTAGATTAGACATTACTAACACAAACTCACTTGTAATCTATATCAGAATCACTAACACATTCTTGCTACATGTAATCGTAGGAACCGGCTCCTTACAAGACATCACTATCACAAACTTACTACATGTAATTGTGGGAACCGGCTCCTTACAAGACATCACGATCACAAACTTACTACATGTAATCCCGGAAGCTGGCTTTCCACCGGCTTTCGTTAGCAAAAATGTAAACATGCACTGCAAAAGTGATGAAGACGAATATCAAGGCCACAGCAGTGAAGATACCTGCGGTAAAAACAGAGAAGAGTTACTCATGGCTAGGGTAAAAACCAAGAAGAGTTACTCATGGCTAGGGTAAAAACAGAGAAGAGTTACTCATGGCTAGGGTAAAAACAGAGAAGAGTTACTCATGGCTAGGGTAAAAACAGAGAAGAGTTACTCATGGCTAGGGTAAAAACAAAGAAGAGTTACTCATGGCTAGGGTAAAAACCAAGAAGAGTTACTCATGGCTAGGGTAAAAACAGAGAAGAGTTACTCATGGTTAGGGTAAAAAACAAAGAAGAGTTACTCATGGCTAGGGTAAAAACAAAGAAGAGTTACTCATGGCTAGGGTAAAAACAGAGAAGAGTTACTCGTGGTTAGGGTAAAAACAAAGAAGAGTTACTCATGGTTAGGGTAAAAACAGAGAAGAGTTACTCATGGTTAGGGTAAAAACAGAGAAGAGTTACTCATGGCTAGGGTAAAAACAGAGAAGAGTTACTCATGGTTAGGGTAAAAACAGAGAAGAGTTACTCATTATTGGGGTAATAAACTGAAAAGAGTTACTCACAGCTGAGATTTTAAAAAGCAGAGAAAAGTGACTCCCAGCAAAAGAGATCTGGAGTCCAGGTATACAGTGCTAGACATATATTATTATAGAGCTACTGTAACTGGGCTATGATGGGTGATATGGTCAACATTCCGCCGGTCATCTCTAGTCATGTCACCCCCAAGAAGACAAGATCTAGTTACTTCTGGTTGTGACACAGTCCCTGCACATGCTGATGTATCAGCATTTCTGCAGGGACCTGTTCTCGAAAAGTGTAGTAAAATGTCACTGGTTCCATCTGCACTTGCACAGTGTTAAGGAGGCGCGAATATGAAAATATTAACTAAAATACCATTTTGTGCATTTTCCTGTGAACCAAATAGCTTTTATAAAGCAAAGTTGATGTCACATTTACCATAAGCCTTAGTGATACAGGTTATAAGGTCACAGAATGAGTAATTACAATAAATACTGTTTCTAGGCTCCATGGAATACATTATACTGAATTTTTCACCCTGTTCTTGTTTCGTGATTAATCCATTTAAATATGTTTAAACATTTTAACAACAAAAGTTTTTTAAATGCAGATAAATACATTATTTTTTAAATTAAATTTTTTAGTGGTCTGTGTGTAAAATGGTTGTTCATTTGGAGAAAACAAATTTGGATTTGTTTCCGGGAATTCTCATGCGACAAGACTCATTTTTTAGCACTCCTGAGGCAACTAGATTAGAGTAAAAAATTATTAAAAGAACATTAAAAATTGAAGAGCCCTTTTCCCATCACTGGCACGCTGGATATATAACGACACACTTGTATGTTTAGAGACCAATCAGCACTTGGTGGCTGATGTGGTTAACATCACTCAGGCTGTCTTTACTTCCCAGGATGTTTCCTGGTATCAATTTTTGGCTATACTGATCCAGAAGCCAAGGTCAATTTTGAAAAAGTCCATCTCAATGCTGACACAAACTCAACAAGACCTTCAGGCGAGCATCTAGCCACTACACGACGGCAGCAGATCACATATCGCCTTCATTACCCTGATTTCCTGGCAGCCATTTTGACCTGAGTTAACGTGGGAGCTACCAATGCAGATTTGAATTCAAGACTTCTGAGCTGCCAGGCAAGCATCCAGCCTCTGTGCTTAGGTTTGTAAACAATCATTTTAAATGCAAATGTACATGTATATATATATATATGTATTTACACACACAGATATATATAAAGGACCCTTTTCACACCCTTAGGCGTATTGGGAACATAGTGCTACACATATATTTTTAGACCAATGGCATGAATTGGGTCATATGGTCAACATTACTCCAACCATCTTTACTTCCCAGGACTTTACCTAGCATGTTAGGCTGGTTCGACCAGGAGCCATACTTTTTTGTGTGGGAGGGGGCGTCAAATTTTGGACCGCAAGTGGGTGTATAACCTTTACACTGTGGCGGCTCACCACACATATATTTGCACGAGCACACATACATACATTAAAACAAATAATATTTAACAAATTTGCATTCATAAAGTTCTACCTAGACGAAGAATTGTATCCCTGATCTTAGAAAATGTTTTCTCGGGGATGAAGGCTGGAGCGTCTTTCTTTATCTTGATTAGTGTGTTCACACCTAGAGATTCAAATACAAACACACATTAGGAATCAGTCAGGATCACTAGTAACAATTCAGAAATTAAAATAATAACCATGGAAATGAGATGTCTTAGAAAAGCTATGGGAGTGACGAAGATCAAATCAGAAATGACCAATTAAGTTCACTGAAATCAGAGATGTTGGGCAGAGGTGCAGATACTGCAGCCTGGCTGTAAACCACAACACATCGTGCCGGCTGCTCTTTCAAGAGTGAATGGAGAAGAAGAAGATATAACAAGAGGAGATGTAGAGTATGAAGCAGAAAGATAAAAAGATAAGAGAAACTCTAAGTAACAGTCTGGAGCGTCTGAAGAGCAAGAACAACAATCCTGTATCTATTTCAACACATAAAGTGGGAAAAGAGGAAGAAGAAAAGGAAAAGTTATTCTCTCTTCTCTTTTGTGTTCAAGGACGATTCTCCTTATACATAAATCTATGATCATTCTCTCTTCTCTTTAGTGTTTGTTCTCAGTGCAATTTTTATTGCTCACATAAATCACAGTCGTTCCAACTCTCCTCTCTTCTGTATTCAAGAACCATTCACCCAATACGCATGAATCCATATTTGTTCTAACTCTCCTCTCTTTGGTGTTCAAGAACCATTCACCCTATACGCATAAATCCATATTTGTTCTAACTCTCCTCTCTTTGGTGTTCAAGAACCATTCACCCTATATGCATAAATCCACATTTGTTCTAACTCTCCTCTCTGTGGTGTTCAAGAACCATTCACCCTATACGCATAAATCCATATTTGTTCTAACTCTCCTCTCTTTGGTGTTCAAGAACCATTCACCCTATATGCATAAATCCACATTTGTTCTAACTCTCCTCTCTGTGGTGTTCAAGAACCATTCACCCTATACGCATAAATCCATATTTGTTCTAACTCTCCTCTCTTTGGTGTTCAAGAACCATTCACCCTATATGCATAAATCCACATTTGTTCTAACTCTCCTCTCTGTGGTGTTCAAGAACCATTCACCCTATATGCATGAATCCATATTTGTTCTCTCTTCTCTCAGTCAGAGAGTGCACAAACACAGCAGAACCAACAAAAAACGCATTGTGTACACATGTGAAACACTTTTGCTGAACATACTCTGCCCCCTACTATTGGCTGGATCTACATGGGAACCCAGTTCAATTATAACAGTGCACCTTGATGGGGAAGTCATAGTTCTGAATACATTATGATCATCAATGACCTTAGCAGAAAAAAAAAAGGTATCTAATTTTCCAGTTCTGAACAAGACATGATGCAGCCAAAAGCCATAAAAACTGTATCTCTGCTTTGTTCTCACTCTATGTGACAATCAACATTTTCCTTTAGAGTGCATCTGTCTGAGAGGCCAGGAACCAGGAGTCTGCATATAAATAAGGCAGACCCATGAAAGGGATGTCTACACCAAAAACAAAAAAAACTAAAGTTCTGGAACAAGACCAGAGTCCATAAGTTAGATAAACAGCTACAACTTTCCACTAGAGTTTACAGCCGGTGAGCACGAAGAAGACGAAGATGAACAACAACCTTAGCAGACCAGTGGCCTGTACATACTGCAACCATCCTTAACAGTCACTGACTGACTCTGTAGGTTCCTGCATCTTTATAAAGTTCTACTATCTACTCCTGCATATAAAGAAGGCTCCTACTATAATGTTCTAGTTCCCAGTTAAAACACTGTTTCTATTTTTATGTTCTAGTACTTACCCCTCAATAAGAAGAATGTTCCGATTACAATTACCAACCCAACTGGCACGAGTACAAACAGGGCTCTAATGCCATGGTTGAATACACCCACAAAGCAGATACCACTCACTGAATCCCCATCAATCTAAGGAGGGAGCAAGAAAGTTGATAATTAGACAAATCACAGCAGTGGTTTTCAAATAGTAAAGTAGACAAAGGACTGGGTAAATATTTCTACATAACATGACTTTTCCCATTCACTTCTCCTATACATATTTCTATATAACATGACCTTACCTACCCCTATTCCCTTCATTTCTCCCATACATATTTCTATATAACATGACCTTACCTACCCCTATTATCTTCACTTCTCCTATACATATTTCTATATAACATGACCTTACCTACCCCAATCCCTTCATTTCTCCTATACATATTTCTATATAACATGACCTTACCTACCCCTATTCCCTTCATTTCTCTTATACATATTTCTATATAGCATGACCTTACCTACCCCTATTCCCTTCACCTCTCCTATACATATTTCTATATAACATGACCTTACCTACACCTATTCCCTTCACCTCTCCTATTCATATTTCTATATAACATGACCTTACCTACCCCTATTCCCTTCACCTCTCCTATACATATTTCTATATAACATGACCTTACCTACACCTATTCCCTTCATTTCTCTTATACATATTTCTATATAACATGACCTTACCTACCCCTATTCCCTTCATTTCTCTTATACATATTTCTATATAGCATGACCTTACCTACCCCTATTCCCTTCATTTCTCTTATACATATTTCTATATAGCATGACCTTACCTACCCCTATTCCCTTCACCTCTCCTATACATATTTCTATATAGCATGACCTTACTTACACCTATTCCCTTCACCTCTCCTATACATATTTCTATATAACATGACCTTACTTACACCTATTCCCTTCACCTCTCCTATACATATTTCTATATAACATGACCTTACCTACCCCTATTCCCTTCACCTCTCCTATACATATTTCTATATAACATGACCTTACCTACCCCTATTCCCTTCACCTCTCCTATACATATTTCTATATAGCATGACCTTACCTACCCCTATTCCCTTCACTTCTCCTATACATATTTCTATATAACATGAACTTACTTTCCCCTATTCCCTTAATTTATCCTATACATATTTCTATATAACATGACCTTACCTACACCTATTCCCTTCAATTCTCCTATACATATTTCTACAAAACAATATGGCCTAATTCCCTTTTTTCCTCTAATACTAAACACTAAACTTAGCCTAATTTTCTTCATTTCTCCAAAACGTATTTCTACATAACAGCTTAGCCTAATTACCTTCATTTCTCTTATACATATTTCTACATAACAATTTAGCCAAACTCCCTTCATTCGTCTTACAAATATTTCTACATAACACAAAACTTTGCCTAATTCACTTTTCTAATACATATTCTAAATATTACTTCTTCACTGTCCTGATGTGACATTTTATCTCACACAGGACTCACAGTCTATTCCTCAATCCAATACCACTTAATCAAATCTTATTCCCCCCTTACTGCTGATATATAATTTTCTATTACAGCCCTAAATATAGCTTAATTCCCTTTAAACTTCTGCCGCATAATTCTACATCTCCATTAAACTCAGTCAATTTCCCTTTAAAGGTATAATACATACTTCTATATAACAACACCTATTCTAGCCTAGTTCCTTTCATACATCTGATAGAGCCAAATATTACGCTAAACATTAGGATAAATCTCTGCATACCTCTGATATAACCAAATGTTACATTAAACTGTCAAATTTTCTGCATACCTTTGATATAGCTAAACATTATATTAAACTGTCACATTCCCTACCTACCTTTGATACAGTCAAACATTAAATTAATTTGTCAAATTCCCTGCATACCTCTGATATAGTCAAACACTACACTAAACACAGTCTAATTCCGTGCATAACCTCTGATATAGTCAAACACTACACTAAACACAGCCTAATTCCCTGCAGAACCTCTGATATAGTCAAACACTACACTAAACACAGCCTAATTCCCTGCATACCTCTGATATAATCAAACACTACACTAAACACAGCTTCATTCCCTGCAAACCTCTGATATAGTCAAACACTACACTAAACACAGCTTAATTCCCTGCATACCTCTGATATAGTCAAACACTACACTAAACACAGTCTAATTCCTTGCATACCTCTGATATAGTCAAACACTACACTAAACACAGTCTAATTCCCTGCATACCTCTGATATAGTCAAACACTACACTAAACACAGCCTAATTCCTTGCATACCTCTGATATAGTCAAACACTACACTAAACACAGCATAATTCCCTGCATACCTCTGATATTGCCAAACAAATGATGGTGAGAACTAGTGGCAAGCACCAGCTGATGAGATGAAAGTAAGCAGTTTTGGACTTGAGAGCATCTCTTGGTGTACCCAGGGCAGTGAAGGTCAAGTACCAAGCAAAGGCTAGCATGACAAACCAGGAGACACCAGCCACCAAGAAGTAATAGACAATCACAAAGACAACAGTGCAGGAGATGCTTTCATTAGACCTGAGGATATAATCAGAGAAATAAGTTACAATAATTTCAAGCTGTAATCATTTACAGCGAGACAGAGTTCAGGAGATCTGGAGTGTGAAGAAGCGAGAGACAAAGAAAGAGTGTCAGAGAGTCAAAAGACAGTCAGACTGTGAAAGAAAAGGTTAAAGTTAAGTTTAAAGTCAAAAGAATCAACTTCATTGCACCAGGTTTTATCCCATTTGGCTTGGTCTCTCTCGGCAGAATGGCAAGCTGCCTGCCGAGAGCGCCAGACAGAGCGGGAACTTAGTAGCTTCAGTGATGATCCTCAGGGATCTCCGTAAAAATTGCACTCATGAACTGAATGGCGCAGCCGTGAAATGAACCCACGACCTTCAGATCACGAGGAAAACAGCTTGACCCCTTCGCCATGGAGATTTCCCAGAGTGTAAAAGAAAGACAAAGAATGAAAGAGCCGGAGAATGTGAGAGAGCAAAGAGAGTGAGTGTGCAAGAGTCAGAGCAATGAAGAGTGTGAGAGTAGTGACAGCAAGAATCAGAGGATATCAGAGAGAACAAATCTGAGTAACGAAATGTGAGACTCAGAGTTAGAAATGTCCATGTAGGAGAGTCAGAGAGAGAAACAGTGAAAAAAAGAGTGTCAGTCAGTCACAAGACATTCAGAGTATGAAAGAGAGAGATAACGAGAGTGAGTCTCAACAAGTAAGAGAGTAGAGATAGCCAGGGTGTAAGAGTCAGAGAGTATTAAAATGAGTGTGAGAGAGTTAAGAGTCGGAGAGCAAAAGTCTGAGAAGGTCTGAGAGAACAAATCTGAGTGATAAAATTTGAGAGATTCAGAAAAAGAATGGCAGAGTGTGAGGGAGTTAGAGAAAGACACAGTGAAAGACAAAGAGAGTTACCCTGTCAGAGAGAAAATCAAAGAAAGACAGACAGACAGACAGACAGTGAGAGAGAGAGTCTACATATCCCCATCCCTGCACCCGCCTCCCTTTGTACATCAAACAAACCACTTCACATACCCTAAATGTGGCTCTCCCCTCCTCACAGTGCCATCTCTCCTGCACACAATATCTTTCCTAGCGTTGCCCACAAACTGTGATAGCCAGCCAATGCTACCCAGGAAAAAGCAGGCATTGATGAAGAAGAGGATCAAGGAGGGGTAGCGGTTGGCATTCTTCCAGTCGATGATGAAGGTCAGCTGTTGACAGACAAAGCTGACCTGTAGGGCTATCTCAGCTGAAAGACAAATTGTTAGTAGACATGTATAGTTGTTAATAGGTTAGTAGACATGTATAGTTGTTAATAGGTTAGTAACATCTACAGTTGACAATAGTTAATTTTTAGTAGTATTAGTACTTAGTTGCAAGCTACATAGAACCTGAACTATTTGCATACAAGTGGATGATGCACAAAAAAGTAAAAAAACTGAGAAACATCTGATATTAGTGGAAATACAAGAAAAATGCAAAGAAAAGCATGGGTAGACAGAGGCAGGAAACAAACAGTTTGATACAAATAATAATCAATATATTTTTTTTAAATGGATGTGTATGCAAATGTAAAGTTCTAGAACAAGACGAAAGTCCATAAGTGGATGAACAGAACTTTCCATCAGAGTTTACAGCCTGTGAACACTAAAAAAGAAAAGAATTTTCTTCGACTTTCACAAACGTCATTAAAATTAGGCTGCAGACAAAGAAATACATAATAAATGTGGAAAGAACACTACCACCCTCTGCCTAATCCCTTTTTGTATGTGTTGTGCTGATAAGACTTGATAAGACCAAGATCAAAAGCTTATGATGGATTTTCTGTCCAGGGTATTCAGGTGTGTGAGGTAACGAGCAGGCTGACAGATTAGCTGCTGCTGCAGCTCTGGGCCATGAGCTTCTATATGATAAAGTTGACCTGGTAAAGGCTCTATAGGATCAAATGGACAGTGCAAAAGAACAGTTGGGGAGTCCATACATTGAAAGACTAATTCAACAAGGGGTATGCAGAGGTTTTGGAAGATATTCAACATTGCAGGGGAAATGTAGGCAGACTTTCAATCAGGTTGCAACTGGTACTGTTAAATTAATCCAGTGACTAAAAAGCTTAACGAAATGGGGAGGATGGTATTAAGCACCTGAAGATGGTATCAAGCACCTGAAGATGGTATTAAGCACCTGAAGATGGTATCAAGCGCCTGAAAATGGTATTAAGCACCTGAATATGGTATCAAGCACAGAGCACGCACTCAGTAGCTTTGGTGAAAAACGGGCTGGTTTTGCACCACTCTGTGATGAACTGATGTATGATAAGGTAGATATTGTGAGGGTCCTTTGGGAGCGAGTGAACAGTGCGGAGGCACAGATAGATCATTACAGTCTGAGGAGAATGGCGCTGCGAGGAGTTACCAGGGGATCTGGCTGATGCTCAACACTCGGGGGAAGGATGAGACGAATATATAATCGGAATTGGAACTCTTCGTTTGCTGATGAGACGAATATATAATCGGAATTGGAACTCTTCGTTTGCTGCTGAAGATGGGGACTAAGCACTTTGGGAGTGTCCTGTGATGTCGGTTCTTAATTCAACTTTCAATGAAATGGGGAAACAGAACAACATGCATAAAACACAACAAATCAACTTTTCAGTTCTTTTTTGACATTAACTAAACCACAATAACAAAGGGGACAGTACTCCAACCACCAGTACATCAGGGGGTCATGTAAGAAACTATAAAATAAAAGTGATGTGGAATGAATATAATGCTATTTTGTTGTGTTTTGTGCACGTTGTTCTGCTTCCCCATTTCATTAAGCTTTTTAGTCACAGTTCACTGCATTAATTTCTTACTATTAGTTTGACTGCAGTCACTACTCTTTTCACCATTTTTTTGAACTGGTCCTGTTAGCATGTCAACTCTTCACTGGTTACCAAAAATAGGGGACTAAATTTGTATGGGAATGTCCTGAAAGCAATGATGTCAATTCGTGATTCATCCAATCATTCATTATCATGCCAATTTCTAATGGAGCGATAAAGTTTTCACATCTAAAAAACACAATCACTGGTAACCATATGTAAGAATGCTGAGAATGGTGAAGACAGGGTTGCTTTAAGCGAAGTGGAAAGAAAGCTTGACTGGAAAGGTCACGTGTAGTGAGCATACTTTGGATCTGTTCTCCAGGCCATGCCCGCGTAGTAGGTAATGAACAGGCATACAGACTGGCTAGATATACACCACTGGGTGGTTAATTGATACATGACAAGGCAAATGTGGTCAAGGCCCTTTGGGAACAAGCAACGGAATCAGTAGAGAAAGAAGATTATTATAGCCTGGAGAGAATGAGGCACCTGGGTGTAACCAGAGGGTCTGGCCGGCTCACTACACTAAGAGGCAAAGCAAGACGGACATATAACTAGATTGTGACTGGTACCATCAGTATTGGAGCTCTGCGCTGACTGCTGAAGATGAGGATGGAGCACACATGGGAATGCCCCGAGTGATGTGATGTCAATTCTTGACATCTTCAGGATGTCACCTATAAAGTTGTAATAACATTTTCGGCGAAAGACAGTTGTTATTTTAATGCATTATAACGGAAGAAACTGTGAAATCAACTCATTTTACTAAAAGCTGCAGTTTGAGGACAATTCAGTAACCATGGAGCCTTGTTCCCCCATGTGCTGTTTGATATCTTTGTTTTGTATAGTGTCTGTTACATTTAGGATTCTTTGTAGACATTTCATTTTTGTTGCTTCGACTTTCCTTTTGTTGATAATGTCCAATTTTAGCATGGATAGCACAATGTTAATTTAAAAAATGCTATACTTAAGTGTGTCCTTTCAGTGCCAGGTATTACATATTTTTTCTATGCTGTTTTGAAATCTGCCAAATTACTTCTTCTTTCTCTGATCCGGCAGAAAGTTCTGATTGTCCAATGCTGGACTCTGGTCTTGTTCCAGGATGTTAGTGCGGCATGCACATCTACTTTACAGGTATGGCTCGTCTGTAGGCAGACTGGTGGCACCTCACCTCCCAGGCAGATACACTCCGCCTTCAAAGCAAACATCCATATATGGTCACCTTTTAATGTGCGTGCAAACTATCTTGCTGACACTGCGGTTGCTATGGCTGGACAGAAGTGATGTTATTAATGCCATACGCTGCACTTTCCGTACCAAGGAGCACGCCAAAGGACATGACTCCATATCCCTGTCTAGACTGATGGACATGTGGGTGCAGCCTGGAGCTGCAAGAAATGAATATTTCACTAAGGGGACAAGATGTTTCATTAAGCAACACAGAACAAGCGTCATCAGTTATTTTACACTTGTGGAGCTTCCGAGGAGGAGATCAGAGCACCTATGGATCTGTCCAGAGTGCAGTGATGATAATCCTTTCTAATCACTAATCACCTTTTATTACATGCTTTTGTGGGCAGTAGGCCTATTCATTTACCTCCAAAACTGGGTCCTAGAACTCATTCGTGGAGTCAAATTGAAATGGCAAATACAGAAAGTAAACTGAGTTAGTGAAAATGTGACATTTTTGTAGAAAACAATTCCGAAAAAAGTTAAGTTTTAAATAAGCACTAGACAATCACTTACCACAGTGAAACACAATCACTCACCACAGTGAAACACAATTACTCACCACAGTGAAACACAATCACTCACCACAGTGAAACACAATCACTCACCACAGTGAAACACAATCACTCACCACAGTGAAACACAATCACTCACCACAGTGAAACACAATCACTCACCACAGTGAAACACGATCACTCACCACAGTGAAACACGATCACTCACCACAGTGAAACACGATCACTCACCACAGTGAAACACGATCACTCACCACAGTGAAACACGATCACTCACCACAGTGAAACACGATCACTCACCACAGTGAAACACAATCACTCACCACAGTGAAACACAATCACTCACCACAGTGAAACACGATCACTCACCACAGTGAAACACGATCACTCACCACAGTGAAACACAATCACTCACCACAGTGAAACACAATCACTCACCACAGTGAAACACAATCACTCACCACAGTGAAACACAATCACTCACCACAGTGAAACACAATCACTCACCACAGTGAAAAGGGTGCACACCAAACATAGGGACCCAAAGACTGCCACAAAATTGTGGACCTCTCTGTGCTGCTCTGGAGTGAACAGTGGGTTATCGCAGGGTACACCACAGCCATCCACTCCATTATACCAGCTACCTGGGTCATCAGTCCGCACAAGGGGTGGCTCACATCGGCCGGTTGTGTGTAGTCTGCACACAGATTTGTAACATCTGCAAAACAGATGCGCACACAATACTCAGGTTTTGGAACAGGACTAGTCCAGAGGTTGGCAAACAATGAGAACTTTCTGCAGCTGGAGTATACAGCTGGTAAACGCGAAGAAGAAGAAGAAATTCTTGTAATATTTATGATATGTTTCCCTGCATTTTTCACTTCTAATAGTGTGGCCCAAATATAAACCCTGTCATTACTCTCATACTCTTTGTCTTCTCAAAAATTTCTACTTCTTCTTCTGCTTCTTCTGACCTTTATTTCACATGAAGTGTAGGCCTTAGCCAACTCAGGCCAAGTCATCCTATTCTTTGCTACTCCATGCAGCTCATCCCCGGTTCCCCCCTTCCCCCCTCCGGCTTTTTTGTTCACTTCAATATCTAGCTCCCTTGTATCTGTGTGTGTGTTCGAGCATGTGTGTGTGTGTGTGTGTGTGTGGGGGGGGGGGGGGGGTCTGTCTTTCTTCCTTTGACCTTGTGGGTTCCAAAGCAAAGACACTGTAGTTATACTGTTCTCGGGCGTTCTCATTATGTGCCCTATCCAACCTTTACCCAGATCCTGATACACAAGAATTTGTTTATTTCTCTCCCAAAGCTCTGCAGTAGGATTCTATCACACTCAAAACATTGATATCATCAGGGATTTTTTTTCTGGCGGCACACATCCCCACTCAGTACTTGCACCTTTTTTAGGCATCATGTTTTTCAGTACTTCTGTAATAGTCATCGTGTGGTGAGTATTAATTGTACCTTCTTTGGTACATCCTTTTGTAAAATCCCACACAGTCAATTGAAAGCCTACTCTATAAATTTACTCTAAAAAAATGAACAGCAGGGATAGAACTTGAAGATTATAAGGATGCATATGAAAACATTTCTGACCTATGTAGTCACAACGAAAATTAAAAAATGAAATACTGAAATTGTTAATATGTTTGTCTTCATCTGTGATGAATAGATACAGTGTCTGATTCTCAGCTGGTATTGTGGAAGGTTCCAAATGGACAAATGTGGTGTGTGTCTATACCAGGTATCAACATGTCAGCATTAGAGGGACTTCTTCTTCTTCACATTAACCGGCTGTAAACTTCGGCAGAATGTCCTGGCTGTTGGTTCACCTCTGGGCTTTAGTCTTGTTCCAGAACCTGAATGTTGCATACACATCTGTTTGACAAATCTGACTTATTTGTATGCAGATTGTTGGTTCCTCACCTCTCAGGCAAATGCACTCTAACTTCAAAGGAAGATCCTAATTAGTCAACTCTTACTACATGCTTGTTGGGGAGGCAGTGGGTCTTGTCTTGTTTTCTTCACAATCAGGCGCCGGAACTCACATGGAAATTACAGGGACTCATGGATATACTGTCTAGAACATGCAGGAATGGGAGAGAAAAACAGAGCAGATATTTTGGCTACAACAAAGATAGCTAAAGAAACATTCATTATGGACAAAGAAGACATTCCAAAGACTATTTATGAATGTATGATAATTGAAGACATGATGTTAGACAAAATTACATGTACATTCTTCTTCTTTTTCTTCGCATTCAATGTAAACTCTGGCGAAAAGTTCTGGTTGTTCATCCACTTCTGGACTGCAGTCCTGTTCCAGAACCTGAGTATTGCGTGTGCATCCGTTTTACATATCTGACTCATTTGTATGCAGACTGCTGGTTCCTTTCCTCTCAGGCAGAGGCACTCTAACTTTGAAGGAAGTTCCCAGTTAGTCTATTCTTGTTTTCTCTATAACAGGGCCCCGGAACCCACACGGGGAATCATGTGTAATAATGTGTGAACACGGAATTAGGAGTGGATCTGACAAGGTGGGATGCACAAGAGAAAGAGAACGACCTGTATAATCAGTGTGCATAGGAACAGTTAGCATCTACACCTTAAGACTGCTGTGGTAGACAAAGCACTCCATATGGCTCCCCTCTCCTTCTGGCATTAGGAAGCGCGTTGGCAATGCCCAAACCCACAGACCCAAGTGTATGTGTCAATAAATACAGGTCTAACTGCCAAGCCTTTAGGAATAGTGGGCACATTTTTAAAAACCAATTGATATTTGATGGGAGAATATCCTGCTGGCCATCTTAATTTTCTAAATCATTTCCCAGTACCTATATTTAAAGTCAGGTGAATCTGTGTTAATTTGAATGGATATTAAACATTTGTAGGGGGGGGGGGGAATTAAACATCTTCCATCAATTGCAAAAATAAACTACCTTGCTGGGTGTCTGATGTTAACAAACATTTAACACATTCCATTATCTGCTAAAATAAATTACCAAGTCACTATCAAATGTTCAATATAAAAATGCTGCCACCATCTGCCAAAATAAAATATTCTCTAGTCACATAACTAATCATGACAACAGATAATGTCCTCCAAGACTGTCCCAAATACAAAACTTCTGGCAAAAAAAACACATCAGTGCAAGTCAAACTTTACGGGTCGCAGAGTGAATTACAAAAGGCAGTGAAGTTCATCCTAGAGACAACATAGCATATATAGATAATCTATTTCAAGCGAACGAAAGAAGAAGACATAACTAATGTTTCACAAACATCAAAAGACTGCACTCATCTTCCCCCCCCCCCCCCCCCCCCCCCCAATAATTACCTAATTAAAATAACTAATGTTCAGGGAGCCACGTGTGGATCCTGATTTTCTTCAAGCATGACCTTGGCTCCCAGGTCGACCCAGCCATAAATGGGTATCAGATTAGGTCCTGGGAAGTAAAGGCAGCCGATGTGATGTTGACCACATCACCCATATAGGGCTAATTATTCTTTAAAAATATGAGTCTAGCCTCATGTGCCCAATGTGCCACAGGCGTGTAAAGGGACATCTAATTCACTTTTCTATAACTAATGCTCACAGATATTAAACATCTAGCATCATCTACCAAATAAATTACTTAGTCACATGTTAGCAAAAATTAAACAACTGCATTTATATTCCAAAATACATTATCTAGCATAAGTATAATCTCAACAAACATTAAACATCTGCAACACTAAATTACCAAGTTGCATAACTTATGTTCTGTGGAGGAAGAGGCCGGTGCTTTTGTCTTGACTATAAATAGTCTGATATGGAGGTCATGGCAGTGACTAATTGAATAACCTGGCTGGAGACACAGAATCCCATTGGGGCTTTCTTTCTTAGTGACTCAGTGAGTATGCTTGAGAGGACAGGTACGGGTTTAGCTTGATGACAGTGATTGGTATCTCTGAGGCAGTCTCAGATGACAAAGATCAGTTTCATTTTTGTGCCAGTTTATGCAGGTGTACAAGGAAATTAGCAAGCTGATAGGCTTGCAAGTTAGGCTTTGGCTGCAGGCAGATGAGCCTTGGAAAAGTCTGGTATGAGAAGTAAGATGTTTGCAAGAACCAAGTGATTACTGTGAATTTGCAACCATGATGAGACCACATGAACAGGAAGTTAAAAGGGGCCTGATAAAACAAGAGAACTAAGAAGGAAGCAACCGCAACAACAACAAAATGTGAAATAATAAACCAACAAAGAACATGTCTCATCAACTGATACATGCTGTAGGATTTACTAAGTAAGAACCAAGCACTTACGGAAAGAATGGTTCGATATCCAAAAAAAGGATGGTCTGTCGACTAACTAACTTATTAACTATAACTGATGTTAAACATAAACACAAACCTTGGCAAATAAACAGAACACAGAAATGGCTGCACGACAGACCAGCACTGAGGAATATTTTGTAATCCGCTCCACAACCGTAGTTTCTCATAAACATCGTCCAATGTCTGCGAATCCCCGGCCAGGCTCGTAGATGTGTGGGAGAACGGAAGTGTGGAACTCAAGCACAACCTGGATGTGAGAGGGACACAGGGTCCAGTGATGTTGACTGACCTGAAGCAGCGCAGGTTGGAGTAGCTGCTGGGAAGCTGTGCTTCAACGTGAGTAACTGGACACGTGATTAATATGAAAAATGTTAATAATGCAGTTTCTGCACTCTTCTGCAGAGAGAGGCGCCTGCACTTGTGGCTATGCTGTTTAAGACCCATTCATAAAGTTTTCCATTCCTGCTGTTTCAGTAATGTGTAGAATTCATATCACACTGACCATGTTATACTGTGTTTAAAGCTATATCTGTTGAAAAAAAAAAAAGGCAAAATACGTAATAAATAATCCTGCAATGACACTGCTCTTTAACTCATTCAATACCAATCAACTCGCTGTGTTATTTTTCAATAACATGATATGCCTTTCTAAACTTCTCATGACACATTCAGTTGCTACACTCAGTCACAATTCTTAGTTCAACTCCTCCTGTCCAGTACTGCTTTTACTTAAATGCCCCAGGTCTAAACACTGTGACAGTAAGCTACCGTTCTGGTGTGGGACTGTTAGTGTTGGCACATCCAACAGCCACCTGCATTTACTTTGTGTGTTCAAGCTTCAAATATCTGCTGAGACTGACATGTGTTTCACTAGTTTGCAACTGGAACAGTGAAGGAATGTTATGTGATTTCCACTGGCTCAGGAACAGTTTAGTATGGGGTGTTAGAACCTCGACTAGCTCTACAAGCCATTGTTAAGCCATACGACACGCAGTTTGAACACTTGATGCAACAACTGATTTACTAAGGCTCTTCAGTAGAATAATCTGTACTGAAGTGGATTCCAGATCACTGGTTGGAAGGCAATGAAATAGCGTACGGATTGGTTAGAAGCAGCAGTGACATGGTACAACCAAATAGTGACTTAACCCACTAAGAGACTAAGACATTAATACTATCTAGTATCCAAGAAAAGTGGCTGGATACACATACCAGATTCTCTCCTCAAGACTTGCTTCATCACCTCTCTAGAGAGAAACATATTCAGACTAAGGACAGGGCACAACAGACTTCGTCGATATATGTTCAAACTTTTCCGTGTAGGAAACACAGAGATGTGTCCCTGCAGAGTGCACCCGAAAATGCTGACCATGTGCTCAAACACTGTCAAATGTATGCTGACAACTGAGATGCAATCTCACCTGTTCCAACCATAATGAAGACAAAAACTTAAACTGTATGGTATAAGAGAAGATATGGATTGCATGAAAGATTTCATAAAGGCTACCAGCCTCCTGATATAAGTTTTCTGACAGAAGGGAAGAAGAAGAAGTAGAGGGTTAACTAAGGTATAAATATTTTTTCTTAGAGTAACAATGTCTAGAACAGAATGAGTTAAAGATTGTGTGGTACTGGAAGAGTTAAAATAAACACATTCTTAATCTTCTGCCCTGATCTCCTTATTGAGTATAGTCCCTTAACCAACTCATGCAGTCATATCCTTTGCTAAGCTATCGCATGCAGCTCGCTAAGTAACCAGAAAAAAATAAAATAATTCTTTTTCTTCTTCTCTTCCACCTTGTACCACAGTGAAGTGTTGGGGGGAGATGTAACGTTTGTTGATAAGCTCTGTCAAGAGCACTATTAAGACTGATATTCATTTCTGTAAGGCTGTTCTTAATGCCATCACCCCATATTTTTCGAGGTCTTCCACTCGTTCTATACCCGTTGTAACGTTTTAGTGTGGCTCCCTGTGGCAGATAGTGCCAGGGCATTCTTGTTAGGTGTCCAAACCACTTCATTTGTTGTTCTTTGATGACCTGTAAGACTGGCTTTATTCCTAGCAGTTTTCTGATTTTGTATTGAATATCAAATTTAAATACGGTATTGGCAGGTATTCTGTCTTTTCTTCTAAGGCATTTCATCTCTGTTGTCACAATTTTAGAAATAAATAATAAACAAGCATAAATATTAAATACTGAAATAAACAAGAAAAAAACTCATATTATCTACACACAAGTTACTACCTGGGGTAGGAGGACTGAACAGGGTATCTGACTTTCTTTGCTGATTAAATTATATATAGTTTATCACTGTATTCAGGCCTACGTTTACAACTGTTTTAAACTTTTCAAGTTAATTTCTTGACTTAACTCAAGTAAATATTTTTAGCTCCTTCGGTGAAACGTAAACAAAAGAATTTTAAACTTAAAAAGAAAAGTTTTCAAAACTTTCAATATTTTCAATTTTTTATTTTAAACAAGACAAAAAAGTTTAAGATACTACTGTCATACATAACCAGCCTTGTCTCCGACTCACAACTCACATTTTGTCACTTTTAACTTTTTAACAGTTAGTTTACTAAATAAATATTCATAAGTTATTTAATTTAAATCAAAATAAACCACAAGTAAAACGTCGTGAACTAAAACTTTCATAGTTTTACAAATGATAAAGCTGTTCAAAATTGAGCATTTCTACATGCAGTCCTTGCCTCTGTCCCCCGCACCGAGGAACACACACCAGGCACCCACAGATCACAGCGGCCATTGTGTGTTATCTTCCATCTTTCTCCCTCTTCTTCCCCTCAGCCACACACCTGGGGGAAGAGGTGTGATAGCGGACCGCTAGCTAAACCAGGCTGGAAATCTTATGGAGCGACTCTTGGTCTTTTGTATGATAAATTATTAATTAGCAGCCAAATTCATCGGCGACAGGGTCGCCAATTGGCTCGCCTGTAGACGACTTCGTCGCCGACCGGAGCAGTAATTGAGCCTGTCTCCTTTGATCGCATTAACACTGCAGGGGTACTGTTCAGAGCTCTTGGTGGCCTGCAGTGCTAATGGCCATTTTATATGGCGCTCATAATCTAGTCACAGTTATAACCTAAACTATCCCTCGGGGATACTAGCTGAACGTGACAATATATTTGTTTTTCTAGCATTGCCGCCAAATGTCTGGTTGGTTTGAATGATTTGTGTAGTTATGAATAATTTGTGTAGTTTTTCAGGTTTAATTGGTGGCATCAGAAATAAACCTACTGATATTGATTTGCACACTGAAAAACAGAAGATGGAAATGAAACAGCAATTTGAACACGCTAGACAGCAGAAATAAAAAGCTATAGTGAGGCTTTTCCTCTTTGAAATAAAGGTCGCCGGTATTCACCTTAAAGGGCCCCCGCACACACACACACACACACACACACACACACACACAAAGGCGGCGGTAGTCACCACAAAGTGAGTACCGCACCTTCTTATTCTTATCTTTTGGAGGTTTTTCCTTATGGATCATCCTTCGGTTCATTCTACATATTAGTGTGTCCTGTTGTCCTTTAATTTATTCCCGATACAGTATAGCCCAAAAGACTGCCAGTTTTGCGTACAACTCGAAAAAAGGTAATGACTATAGTGATCATGAGAACCATCTGCCTTCTCACCTACATCTCCAGTGGAGGATGGGTCGTTTGTTCTAGTTCCATTGTCAAATTTAAAAAAAAAAACTCGACTAGCCAAAAGTCTCAGGCTATATTTGTGGTCTGGTTTATTTGCGCAATTTGCGTGGCTAAGATTGCGATATATGCGCTGGCTTTATGCTCATATCCTAGTAGCTAGACCGTTTTTTCCTGTCTGTGTCCTAGTGTGTTACTCTTATCCTTATCTTTTCGAGGTTTTTCCTCATGGTTCTTCCTTCGTCCGGTTCATTCTCCTTATTATTGTGTCCTTTTGTCCTCCAAAGTATTCCCGAATTAGTTCCCTCTAGCTAGTTTGGCTAGGCGTGTCTCGTAAGAGACCGGGCTATTTTGCTATGTAAGCAATCGATCGCCTCTCGTCATGCATGATTAGAAGTAAAGGTTCCTTTTCCACACCTTTAGGCGTATTGGGAATATAGGGCTAGACCTATATTTTTATAGACCAATCGGCACTTGGTGAATAATATGGCCTGCATCACGCCGGATGTCTTTAGTTCACAGGACTGCATCTGGTACCACCCATTCAAGGCTGGTCGACCTGGGAGTCAAGGAGAGAAAAAAGCCCGGCTCTGTCAAAACGCGAACCCACGACTGTCTGATCCGCAGGTGGGCGTCTAGCCACCAACGCCACGGCGACTCCCCCATGCAGTATTGTGATTGCTTATATTTGCTTCCCTGACTGAAATAAATCAGGTTGCAACTGGACGTGCACAATCAAGATCGTAACGGAGGAGCATGTTGAAGCGTGTCGGGGAATGTTGCAAGTGCAGTGATGTTAATTCTTCGTCCATTTATGCATGGCTAATACATGACAAGCAGGTGTGATCCTTTTCCCTTTGGGAAAAAGCAACGGAATCAGTAGAGAAACAAGATTATTATGGCCTGGAGAGAATGAGGCATCTGTGTGTAGCCATAGGGTCACTACACTCAGAGGAAAGGCAAGACGGACATCTAACCAGTATTTGAGCTTTGCGCTGGCTGGTAAAGATGGGGACGGAGTGCGTATGCAAATGCCCCGATTGCTATGATGTTTTTAAAAGAAGTAGAAAATTATAGGGGAGAGAAAAAGGTAAGAAATAACAAATAGTTTATGTCAGCTTTACAAAATCGATCACAATAAACAAACAAAGGACGTTGCGGCAGTTAGCCTTCATCAGCACATAAAGGACAACACAGTACACATACACAAACATGCTCTAACTATGAAGTGACTACATAGGACTCTAATGTATAAAATAAATGATATTCATTTGTGTCCCTGGCGAAAAATCTTCGTACAATGAAATAACGGTCAGCCTATATATCTCTAACGCGCGGGTGGGGGCGAAAAAAGGAGCGGATTAGACGCCAACAGCGTACACTGAGTGTCTAAGAAGGGAGGGAGGGGTTGGCCTATAGGGCGTAACCGGGGTTGGGTTGTGGGGATGACATTAGTCCATCCGCATGGAATAAAAGTGGTGCCTGTGCTTGCAAACAAATATCAGCAGACAGACAGACAGACAGACAGACAGACAGACAGACAGACAGACAGACAGACAGACAGACAGACAGACAGACAGACAGACAGACAGACAGACAGACAGACAGACAGACAGACAGACAGACAGACAGACAGACAGACAGACAGACAGACAGACAGACAGACAGACAGACAGACAGACAGACCGGCCGGCAGGCAGATAGACAGACAGACAGACAGACAGACAGACAGACAGACAGACAGACAGACAGACAGACAGACAGACAGACA